AAAAAAAATACAGTAATAAGAAGATTTTCAATGTGGCAATTCAAATTTTTCTTTTCATTTTTTTCAAGTCAAAGCCCACATGCATGAACTACTGCTATGCAAAAATTCTTTACAAATCAACTAAGGGCTAGCTAGCGGCACTCTGGTATTTTTGCGAATCTCAAATCACTAGTCTTGAAGCGCCATGGAAGCTAGAATATCTAACGGTGGGGCGGTGAGAAGCAGCAACTCACTGGAACTTCTTGAACTTCTTCTGGAATTCTTCTATTTTGAGAGCACGAAGTCTTGGATTTGCATAAGAATAAGAGGAGCCATCAAACTTTTCGTAGATTACGCAATTTTGTCCAAATCGATAGCCAGCACATTACCTGCTTTCTTTTTCGAACTGTAGCTGTGGTGCTAGCTCGACTCATTCCTGTTTTCGTTGTTCGTCTGCTCATTACACTCATAGTACTACCCGCATCGGAAAATATATCGATGTCCTAAAAATTCAAGACAATCATCTACTGCTGAGTAATCCGAAATCTTGCCATACCTCAAGATCTCTGCCACTTTCTACTCCTTCCTTGATCTTCTGAATACGTTCTTCTTTGATGGAACGAACTACTTCGAGACGTTTAGTGTACCTGGAAATCATTGGATACATAGGAAAAGAGTTTATTTTGCTTAGTTAACTGCCTAAAGTTTACATAATCATGTCCATGCATCAATCAAACAGCTTACCTTTCAATTTCTTCTGACTTCGTTGACAGATCATTCAGAATGCTTTGAGCACGTTGTTTGAGGAGATCACCAACAAAATTGGAATCTGTAAGTCAAAATGTTTGAATATTTGCGAAAAAAGAATTGATCACCCAAAAGCATCTGCACATAAACATACCTTTCGCTCCTCTCGTATAGTTAACAGCATCCAACCATTGTCCTGCTTTTGCATAAGCTTCACCTATGGCGGCTGCAGAAGCTCCCTAATGTATAGGTCTTTTTGCATCTTTCTGCATCTTTCTCTTTTTGTTTTTTTTTTTTGCATTTTCGAAAAAAAAAGAAAGTCACTAACTGCATGTTCTAGAGCCTTCGCGGCCTCAGCGTATCGACCCGAGCTCTTCAACACAGCAGCCATTTTGGATA